AATGCATATACAATCGAACCTCGATAACTCGAATCTCAAGGGAGGAGCTATAAAAATCTTCGAATTGTAGAAGTTTCGACTTATCAAAGTTTGAGTAAAACAGAATTGACATGAAAATTCGACTTACGGAAGCTTCGTACGAGAGTTTATAATTTTCTGACTATAATGGCTTTTAAAGGAAAAAATTTGAATGGTTTTCGAGTTATAGAGGTTCAAGTTATCGAGGTTCGACTGTAATTACACTGTTAACGCTTCGATACGCGCACAATTGTCAAAATATACATATAATGATAGCTGCTCATGAAGCGCAATGAGAGAATTACCAATCAGCAGAAAAGAGACAATAATAAACTTCAAGATATTTCGAGTATCGATTTAACATGCCTGTTTTAGATTTAAAAAAATATGTATATTCTTTCAATTTAATATCTCTGCAAATCTGTCCGGAAAAGTCGGTCCCTATTAATTATCTTATTTTCTATTATAATGACATTCCAAATTTACATACAATTTATTCTAAATAAATCTAATATACATACTGCATGTCTGACATTGCAATTTTATATTTCATATTTTATATATTTATGCGCGAGTCGAACCAGTCGAGGATCATAAAATTAATGGGCGAAATAATTACGATATTACACCTGCATGTTTTAAATAAAGATTCTAACGCGAATAAAACATTATCAGATCTGTCGTATAATTAATGACCGCCAGTGTACCTGTCATGTTTGAATAATTGAAAACGGCAAAATTGAACACGGTATAGCCTTGCAGGTTATATAATATTTATGATAACGGATTTATTTAATCTTGTTATATCTTGGCGTTTTCTCCCCCCGATGCCATTCGTCGACGTTGTCGAGGGTAAAACAATTTTGTCCTTCAATCCTTTTTGGCGCCACACAGTTGCCCCTGATGGTAGCGCCAAATGTTCCCGGGGACTATCGAGAGCGGATCTCGCCCGAGGGATCGCACACAGCCCTCGTGACGATGTCGCCCGTCGCAACAATTTCTGATAAATACTACAAGCGTCGCGGCTGACGCGAATCGAAGGTGGTTCAGTGGAAGGATAAAAATGGGATAGATAAAGGCGGAAGCTTTCACGGCGTAAGTGCGAGCTCTTAGAAAATCGAGTGAGAGAGCTTCTTGTCGGCGATTGTTACACCGCGATGTAGCTTACGCGCGCGCGCTGAGATTTATTTAGAACGAGCGTTTAATCGACTCCAGTTTATTTGAAACATAAAGTTCACGCGAGTTTTCAATTCTGTCCACGAATGCACGCGTGCGGTTGCATATATTCTGACAGTGCAAGAAAATCTCTGTGCACGGCGTGTAATTTTACAGAATGATCAGGTCGCAATAATTTACAGATTGCGGCGATTTCCAATCGGGATAAGTATGTACAAATGACAAATGACAAAAATTTGCGAGTATACTCCGGAAAACTTTCCGGTGACCGAAATGCGAGCGCGCGCGTGGAACGTTACCTACTAAAGTGCTAAAGTAATGTTGATTAGTTTAATGGCTTTTGATTTAATGGCCGGTTGCAACCACAGGCGCACAGCCGGTCCGCCGTATATCGGTTTGGTAATCGGCTGTCGGATTGCATGCGACGTGCAGTACGACGCCGCGCCGCGCCTCTCGCTAATATTGTACATCGGGCTGAGCGAGCGCGCACGCGCTCGACGCCTCTTCGTACGCAATTACAACAGTACAAATATTTATTAGTTTATTTAAAAAGCGTTTTCGCTTCGAGACCGAAAAGTGTATGTCCCCGTCAATGCGGTGTGGCACTCGGCGTTCGCGTCCTCGCCGATTCATTTCGAAACGCTTTTCGGCGCTTCGCAAACAGCTCGCGCTGTTTACTCGTCATTATTCGATTTGTGTTTTGTTTCAATTTTGCCGGCGTTGTAAACGCGAGTGCTTTCAGGTAACGCAAACTTCAATTAGTCCGCCTGTCGATTCGCGTACGAGCCGCGCCGCGCCGCGCCTGCCTCGATTTTCACCGAGCGCGAGCCGCGCAAAGTCCCGCGAATCAAAATCGCGCGGAATCGAAGTCGGCGCGCGTCTCCTCCTCGACGGGAATGCTCTCTCTATAAAGATTGGCACGTGCCAGAGCCGAGATGTTCCCGAGGTGTCGCGTCGCCTCGAAAAGCGCATCCACGCACCCTTCATCCCTCTCGTCCTCTCTCTCTCTCTCTCTCTCTCTCTCTCTCTCTCTCTCTCTCTCTCTCTCGCTCTCTCTTTATTTCGACTCCCTTCGACACCTTCTTTACCCGCGTTCTTTTTTTATTTACCCTTTATTTGACGCTTGACACGCGACGCGCGTAATAGAATAACGGCCTCTCCGACGACGGAAGTGGCGCGCGACGATCTCCTCTGACGGAAGACAAACTTCAATCAATGCCGCCGGAGACAAAAGACGTTCGAGAGCGGAAAGACGACGACAAGGGTGACGGCGACGGCGACGGCGACGGCGACGACGATGACGACGACGACGGCGACGGCAACGGGCTGCTTCACGGATTTATCCCATAAGTGCCGTCGATTTCCCTCCGCTTTCAAACCTTTCCGCAAAATTTCGCTGGAACTCGCGTGTCGAGGAAGATTGGCCGGTGACGCGCTTAGCTTACGATATATTTTATGGATATCGAGTGATTTCAGCGTACGTACTTTCTCCGCACGCACGCCGATCCCGAACGAGCAGCCTCGGCGGGGAAACTTTGCAGACGGAAATTCCTGCTCTTTTTATTTTGTTTCTCTATCGCAGATCTGCCTCGAGAATATACCTCACGAGTATTTATAAGAATTTCAATGCGAGAATCGTCGCTGATAAATTCAATATAAATGCGAAACGTTGACGGTATAAAATGCGATTTACTTACTCGTTTGAATATTATTAAAAAAAAAAAAAAAAACGGTGGCGAAAGTCTCGCGCAGATAGAACGTTTTCTTTCAATAATTTCCTCCGCAAAATGTCACGCAGATGTTCATCACAATTTCTTTCGCAAATTTTCTTCCATTCGTCGCTTTCTCTCGAAGTAAAATTAAGCAGTTCGAAAGTTTGAAAGAAAGATTTGACGTGTACTGCACACTTTTGTACCCTCGAAATTGCGGTGAACATTTAATATCGAGAAGCTCATTTCCTTGTGCTCGTTGCGAAACGTCTGCAGCACGCTCGCCCTCTCGCGATGATATTACCCGCTGCAATATTGTATTAAGACAAATTGCCAACGCGTGATTTACTCGCTATTGGAGATCACGCTATAGCGGATGAGAGAAACTTTTAATCTGATTACTTATTTGCACCGAAGAATACCCGAGTATGATTCCTATCGCCCGGAATTTATCTCTAAACTTCTTATCTTGATTTACCTCGGCGCGTCGGCGTTTTGCCGACGTAAAAACGTAATTGTGCCGCGGTAAAGGATTTTACTTCGGATTTCTGCAGCAAATTTTCGTCAATCACGATCGCCCGCGATGGAATACTCGACTTTTATTTAAGAAAATTCTCCCTCGCGCGTTTCATCTAATTTTTATTCCATTATATACACTTCTTCCTTCTGGCTCACGTTCCCCTTCCCCCCCTCCCCTCTCGCCCTCTCCCAGCTTATTTTCGTACTTTTCCGGATCTTCTAAAGATTGAAACAGCAGGTAGAATTATGTACACGTGTATGAGCTTCGCGAGCGAAGCTTTTAATTCAAGACCCGACTCCGGCAATCCTACTTGCAGCTGCGCGCCTTTAGAAATACAAGGGACGACAGAAGAAGGCGTGTGCCGCGCGCACGGCTTCTTTCAAACTCTCTCTCGTTGCAGCGATAATGCCCGCGTTCTCCGTCCCTCAGGGGTACAATCACTTTCGGAACGTGTCCGGCGCATTCCTTTGCATGTCACGCGTCTCTCTCACAGCACCGTGAGAGACGCGTGATCGTCGAAATGCAGCGCTTCGGCGCGACGGCATCTCGAACCGTTTTTCATCGGGCTCTTAATTTCTCGCGATAGAATACGTGGGTAGGGGGAGGGAAGGGATGAAAGGAGCGTCAGCGCTGTGAATGAGTCCGTGAATTTATTCCGCGCGAGCGCGCCCGCGGGGCCCAACTCGCGCATTTGCGATGTCCGCTTTCAGAAATCCGAGCCTTCGTCTGTCTCACGTACATTTTGGCTCTCCTCTTAAGTTGGCGACGCTATCGAGATACGAGGGAGCTTGTGCATTCCGACTTTTTCCTTAATATTCTTTCCATTTCTGTGGGCTGACCGACTTCGTCGTCTCGACAGAAGTATAAAAGGCGTAAAAAGGAAAAAAGCGAAGGGCAAGGAAAAAAGAGAGGGGAATAAATGTGTTATTATATTCTAGAATAGAAAACTAACATAAATGATGGCTGCGACGATTGCACAATTGCTGTTACGACAAATTCAAAAGGTGGAAAATAAGTAGGAGAAATGGAAAAAGTTACCGAGTAGAGAGAGAAAAAAAAGCGACGGAAATAAATGAAGAAAATAGGTTACGTATAAAGATTTAAAATAGTATGAAATAGAATTTTTTTAATTAATTGAAAGAATTATAATTATCTGCAAGAGAATTATGTGCAAATTTGTCCAAAGCAATTTGCTCGCTACATGTAATCGTGCAGCGATGTAAAATACATATATTTTTGTCGTCGCGTATCGTTCAAGCATCTGAAAAACAATCTCCTGTCTATCGTAAAGCAATTAAATATCCATATTTGGCGATGGTATACGATGACGTTAACTCTCCGGCTTTATTTCAAATGTAGTATTTTATCGTAATGCTTGACGTTTACGCCGGCCGTGCTGGTTACAGGCAGACAAATAGTTGGCCAAAGTTGCGTGCTCGTATGACAAATCTGTTTTTTTCCGAGTTGTAAAAAGTTGCCAAAATATATATATATATATATATTGGATGGGATATAAAACCGATCAACCGATTTTGCGAGCGGCCGCAGGTATCGAATAATAAAAAATATCGAATCGATAAAGTACAATTAGACGTATCGTAATTTTATTTTATCATCAACGCCAGATACATTTAAATTTCTGATACACACAATGACAAACAATTTATTTGTTTCGTTATGAAGTAGTCTATAATACGTAACGACTGTCAATAGGCTACACTTTGTATTTTATATCCGGTATTTCATATCCTCTGAGCAGAAATTAATTATGTTTTTGTTTTCATAAGATCGAGATGTGCCATCGAATGGAAATGCATTAACCCGCTTCCGCGTAAACCTCGTTTCCCTCATTTCCATTGCCGCGCCGAAAATCGCTTCGGGGGGCTTCAACTTCGCTTTGACAGCTTAAACGCTCCGCAGGCAGAGCGGCTCCCGCGCCGACTCTTCCGCTTCTGAAAATTGCACAGTTTTCTTTCTACAAATGACTTAATTAATTCCGTTTCTAAATAAATTCGCAGAGAGAGAGAGAGAGAGAGAGAGAGAGAGAGAGAGAGAGAGACATATCGCGCACGCCTAGGAACGCATGCAAAATCGCGCGATTCTATAAACCCGAATAGATAGAGTTAAATTCATCGGGGAAACTGACCGCCGCGCGGATCCTCGCGTTAATTCCCGCGGTTACGCGAAATATAAAGTTCAAGAGCCGTTTCACGCAGATAAAATTCTTTCTCTCTCTCTCTCTCTCTCTCTCTCTCTCTCTCTCTGTATCCCCCTTCCCGAGAGATTTTGATAATATTTTGTAATAGGGGAGAGTTGCCAAATGCGTACCGGTCTCATAAAGCGTATCTCTTTAATATTTTATAGTTCCACTTAATAGAAGCAACATTTAATAACAAAAATATAAAGTAAGTATAAGAAATGTGTAAGATAGACAAAAACTGAATAGGTTACATCTTGTTTTGTTCATGCTATCAACAT